TTCAAACAGTGCTTGAAACCCCTAATATAACATGACTGCCACATTATAGCCTAATTTAAGACGGAGTCAAGCTCTCTCCTGCACTGTGACTGCCAAGTAGGATTGGTAGCAGGTGCCATGATATATTCTTCCTTCTAGTAGCAAGTTCCTCCAACAAGCACACAGACACCATGAACAAACTGAAACTGCAAAATATACTTAAAGAACAACATAAAAATAATATTTTAACTCATTTTTTAACAAAAATTCATTATATTATCTTTTTTTAAACTCCTCAACATCCTAACAAGAAGGTTTTACTGAACTGTCAAATATGAGATAATACAGGCCACATGGAATGAAAAATTATTCAAAATCCCTTTTGTTATACAGTTCCTGAGCTCTTAAAAAAAAAAAAAAAAAAGGAGTGGGCTGAGGCTACACCAATCTAAGGCAGTTCTGACTGAACCCATTTACTAAGTTGTCTGAAATATACAAAGTCCTTCCTGGGATAGATTTTTCTTTTTGATTCTTATTTTTAAAGAATTTAAAAATCACACTGGAGAGACATTCCTTACCCAATTAGAAAACATACTGTAGATTCTGCCATATTTCCCTGAGGACCCCACCCAGTGATATCATGCTCAAAAGGAGCGGGTGTACCTACAAGAAGACAGGAATCTAGAGAAAGGAAGGGAGCCCCACAAAGAGCTGGATATCTGGGGGACCAAATATCTCACAAATGACAACAGAAATGTTTGTGAAAGAAATTTAAGAAACCATTCTCTCTTTATATCACTCATTTGTACATTTCTACTATCTGAAAGGCATGTAAACATTTTTTTAATTATCTGAAACTTAAAGAAAGATAAATGTGGGATACCTTCAAATACATGAATTATAAGGAAACTACATGCTTCTACAGACTAACAGTGAACAACATCTCAAATCAAATTCCAAATGAAACCTGGAATAACTGGCAAAGTTTTCAAAGTCTGAGCATCTGGTAAGTTGTTTTCTATTCAAATTAAAATCAAACTCTTGAAATGGTTAAAGTTAAGATGTGTTAAAAGTCTTTTGTCATCTTATCCCCTTATATCAAAAAAACTCCTAACTGATAATGCCAGGCTGGGTGTTATTAGGGAACCAAGCTAGCACTGACCCTGTTTCTCCTGTTTCAATATACCATCAAAGAAGGATATTCACAAATAGTAATGTAGGAAGATACATTAACAGAAGTAGACAATGTCCCACCAAAGAGGAGTAAGTGGTGAGAAAGAGCTTGTAAAAATACTGGAATATTATTGAGATGATATTATTATTATTATTATTATTACTGAGCTAACATGAGAATACCCTCATAGCTTATTATTACAACTAATATAATTATCGTTGTTAACAGCCGCAGCTATCCCTTACTTCAGGATTATGGCAGATTCCATAACAAGCACTTCACATACACTGATAATTTCACAATCTAAGTATCAAAGAGATATTTATCTCTCACAAAAATCCTATGAGTTAATAATTATCTTCCCATTGACAGAGTATATCACTTAACTTCTCTAAATTAAAGCCTCTTCAAGAAATTTGCTGAAGATTACAAAACTCATAAATGGGAGACAGCTCTCCCATTTACACTCCAAGTCCTATTCCACAGAGTCTTACTGACCTCTTCCCAAATTCCAGGGCTACCAACACCCTGTGAGCAAATGCTGACTCCACAGGTGAGGCTGACATCAGTCAGATAATCCCTCCAGCAAATGCTACACTCTGACAGATCTGCGTCAGCAGGGCAGAGGTGAGGGAAGGTTCTTCCCAGAGCAGGTTTGAAGCCATCTGAGCTCTGATGGAAGAGCAGCAGCTGCTTTGGAGCAGAAGACAGGAAAAGCCTTCCAGACAGGAGACCCAGAAGGCAGAGACGCTGTGGTGAGGGGGCGTGTGTGAGGCTGAGCACTAGAAGAGTGAAGGAAGATGGAGACCAGAGTGACATGAAGCTGACAAATTTCGATGCATTAGGTGCAATTTTACCTTGCTCACAATGTACAATGTGCTGCAGGCCACGGTACAGAGCTTATCTTTGTCCTCAATACAATGAGAATTCATTTTATTTTACTGCTGGTGACAGTTTTCTTTGGAAGGTGTACCAGGGTAGACCTGCCACTTTGCCTCTTATAGGAATCTTTCAAGGCAGAAATAAAAAGTAGTTCCAAAGCATGAACTACTTTTTTTCTAGACTAGACATCTATTACACATCTAAACATCCCTAAACTGGAGATTTGAGCTGCAAATGAAGTATGGTTTGTGGATTAGACTCTGAGAGTAAACTGAGGCATAGTCAGTTTCCTTGGAGGAATTGGGGTGCAGAAGCATAGGCAACCCAAGCATAGAGGAATGTAAGCACACAGCACATGGCCCTGCCATGAAAATCTCAAGAGCCCACTTTCAGATTCACACCCAAGCTCCACTCCCATCTGCTATGTGGCTTTAGATAAATTACTTGGTCTTTCGGTAACAGTTTCTCCATTTGTAATAGCATCTACCTCACAGGATTATTTTCAGTGAAATAAGTTAAAATACATGGAGGATAGTAGGGTAGTAGCTTTACATAGCAAATATTCAATAAATGCCACAATTACTACTATTATTTATTATTATTATAAAGGATTATGATATGCAGTAAGCAGTTAAATAAGGGGGGAAAACTATAAATATACATCTGAGACAACATGCAGCATGTTCTCAAATTTGAACTGCATAAGAATTACCCAGAAAGCTTGCGGAAAATGTAGGTTCCTCACTTGTCAGAGTTAAGGCCCAGGAAACTGTAGTTTCCATGAGTCCCCGGGGGATTCTGACATTGTTACTCCAACCAACATACTCTAAGAAACATGGCCTCAACATGTGAAATTTAAAATAAGTGTTCAGACATCAAATAAGATGTTTCATTGCAAGATTCTAATAATAGGGATGACTTTATAAAGCTAATTTTCAGATTTTTTTTTTTTAAGGCACGATGGGACTTGCAAAATCTACTTATAGAAAAAAATCTGAATAATCAGAATCCATTTGATCTGTAAAACATATAGCACTCAGTTTTTAATAACCATTTTCGTATATTACTTAAATCTTTACTTCCAAATCTAAATATCTCTCAGTGCTACATTATTAAGAGAAAATAAAAGAAACATCTACACAGTAGGGTGTGTGTGTGTGTGTGTGTGTGTGTGTGTATTGCTTAATCATGAGACCTTGTTTTTTTATTAAAAGTAACAAAGTCAATTTTCATCACACAGGAAAAGGAAAACTCTTTCTGCTAAGATACAACTAAGATTTTCTGCAGGTTTTCATGTTCATCCAGGGTTTCTCAGCCTCAGCACAACTGACACTGTGAACAGATAATTCTGTATTGTGGGGGCTGCAGTGTGCCCTGCAGGATGTTCAGCATCCCTAACCTCCACCCATGAGCAGCACCTTCCATCCTCAGTGTGAAAAGCAAAAATGTCTCCAGACATTGTCAAGTAGCCTCAGGACCAAAATCAGCCCTGCTTAAAAACTACTGCTTTCACTATAAAGACTCTGAAGGATGTCAGTTTAACCATTTTCAAATGCCATTCCAGGTTCTCAAGGACCAAACACTCCTTTCCCCAATCGAGACATCTTCCCAACATTTCCTCTTCAACATTTACACACACATGCATTTATACGTATTTCATGACATCATGGAGTTGTTTTCAACATGCCGTCTATTTTCAGGGAGAAAGGAAGGTGCCATTACTAAAGGTAATAATGGTGATAATAATACCCTTGGAGACACTTGACCCTTCTCAAGGCAGTTTGGAATACACTAGTCCCAGCCCAGTATTCAGCAGCAGGTCCCAAATATTTTAAATCCACACTGAACAGTTTATCACAGAAAAGTGTTGTCTTCCAACACATCTCTGCAAGTCACCCTGGGTCTCTTGAAGCAACTGATAACAGCAAGAACATAATTCTTTACAACACCTGCAGAGGAGGGGGTAGGAAATGTTTCTGCCCAAGTAACAGCAAGAAGCCTGAGGCTCTCCATTCATTCCACAACTTGGCCCAACTTGGCATCTTGCTCTTTCATGTTCTTTCCACTCAATTGTGGATATGAGACCAAAAACAGTGAACAGATTCCTCTTGGAATCTGTTACATTACTTTAGAAATAAAAAGATTAAGATATTGTTCGTGATGATTTTTGAGGATTCTCCTTCTAACTCTCTGTGAGACATTTTTATTTGAGGAATCAAAAGTTCTAGGATCTAAAAATGCACTTCTGCCGCTGAATCCACCAAGTCTAAGAATACTTCCCTTAGGGTTATTTTTCAGTCATTCAAACTAGAAGAAAAAACTTGAGTGGTAAAAACTGACATAATCATTTCAACATCTCTTAAGCAAGTCAATGAAGAACTCACTTTGAAAGAACAGACAAAAGGAATCTACTGGCTTTATGAAGGAACTGTGTATACCCTCAAACCACCTCTTCAGAAAACTCACACAGGTGACTAACTCAGAGAAGAAAAGCCAGTGGCCTATTCCATGAAGCTGGTGAACAACATCCTTGAAGTTCATTACCATCTGAAGATACTGTTTGGCCCTTTTATCCAAATATCATCACACAACCCAACACTTGGGATCTGCCTTGACCCCCCCCCCCCGAAAAAAAAAAAAAAAAAAAGATTTAAAAACTGCTGCTTGGGTTCTCTTAATAAACAATGCACATTCCAGTTTTATTTGCAAAACTAATTACCAGCAGCTGCTGCTACTTACACAGAATTTTTAACAGAAAATATTTTACATACTCAAGTATTCTGCCTTTTTAAAAAAATTTAAAATAAGGCATAACTACTAACTTCTACATTCCTTTAACTGGTCTAAAAAGAAAAAAAAATGATAAAATCATTTCCCTGAGACTCAAAGGAGACAGCTGCACACATATGTCAACTACACATCTCGGCATTAAAAGAGAAATTTAGTGCTTTAACACCATACTTACATGTGTGGGCTCAGTTCATAAAAATTTCTATTTCTGTAATCTTCCACTTTCTCTGGAGAATAAATGGGCAAGGATCGGTAGGGGTTAACAGATATAACCACACTTCCAATATATGTCTGTAAAAGAAAGAATAAAATATTTGGATAAGTACACAGATGCACTCTAACATTTTAAAGTTTACTGTTATTTGATTCCATCCTTTTATAACCAATATTCTACTGTTTCACCATTGATTTTTGTTTTGAGTTTTGGGTTTGTTTGGGTTTTTTTTGTTGTTGTTGTTGGGTTTTTTTGTTGTTGTTGTTTTGTTTTGTTTTTGGTACCAGGGATTGAACTCAGGGGTACTCAACCACTGAGCCACATCCCTAGCCCTATTCTTTTGTATTTTATTTAGAGAGAGGGTCTCATTGAGTTGCTCAGCGCCTCACCATTGCTGAGGCTGGCTTTGAACTCGCAATCCTTCTACCTCAGCCTCCCGAGCTGCTGGGATTACAAGTGTGCGCCACCATGGCTCAGCTCACATTTTAAGAACACTCTGAATCTCTGAAGATGGATGGTCAGTAATGTTTGTCCATTTTGCATTATTTATGGAAAGGATAGACTTATAGGTTTAAAAATACCTTTCAAAATAAATCTCTATATCAATTTATGATTCTGGAAAAGTGCTCTCCAAAGCCCTTGCCATGCCTGCCACAATTTTCATCACCAACAACTGCTAACTATAAGCAAGAGCCATGCCTTGACAGTGGGAAGCTGGTGTTCCCCTTCTTTTTCATCCTCCTGTTTCAAGCACTGGTGACCCAAGTTTCCCCTCCTCCCAATCCGCTCCCACACCCATAACTAACCAACAGGGTCCTCCCTTCCACACTGCCCTGTAAGCTTGTCAGTCTCTACAGTGGGCTCAGACAACAGACAATTCAGTATTAGAGTCACAGTTCTCCCTGGGAGATGTGAACAACATAATTTCATATTATACCTAATGTACTGCAATACGGGAATTTAAGCCTAGAATTTAAATGTACTTTTCAAAGGAAAGTAGGTTTAATGTCAAATTTACATGCAATGTGAAATTTAAATATTCTGAGAGATCAGTGCAGTATTTTAACAAACACAAGCAAACCAGAACACTATTTATCTTCCTTTCTCCTTCAAACTTAAATTCCTGGCAATGCAAGGTAGAATTTGGTCTAGTTCATTCTGTACAAGGCCTAGCAGAATGTCACAAGCGAGCCACCTACCAGGAAGCTCATCCTGGCAGTTCCACTTTCCTTTGTTTCAACATCATAAAGATAGTAGGAGGGGAAAAGATGCAATAAACGATATGCTTGATGAAGTTTTTGAAAAGCAAAAGAAAGAAGAGGAGGGTGGGGGGCTCAACTCCAACTTCCCCACCTCGCAGAGCAGGTTTACCAACAAGTCTTTCCACTATTGCCACCACTGGGATTCTAGGAAATGGAAATTAAACAAAATAGAAAACAAAGAAACTGTAGAAAAGTTCTGCTGAATTTTTGGAGCCTGGGTCACAATGATTTTTTGTTAGAGTCCCCCCAAACCTGAAGAACACAACATGCTTCCATCCTATGAGAACATATTCTTGGCAAGAACAGACAAAACTGCTGTTGTAAGGCAAAGTTTGTTCCCATGCAATGTTTTGTATTTACTTCTGACATTCTGTCATTAGGAACCATGAAAACAGAGGATGACCCCAAGTTTCCTAATTGACTGCATTTAATGAAACATTTCTGAAAAGTGAATGGTCCCCTCATATTCCAACCCTCCTGGACAGGTAGATGGGAAATGCTTAAGACAGAGTAACCATCTTAATAGCTTCTAAAACATCAGATTTAGTTAACTGGTAGATATTAAAGGAACATTAGCTATTCCTTTAATATCTATTGACTAAAAGATGAGCCTTTAAAAAAAATTTTTTTTTAGTTGTAGATGGACATAATACCTTTATTTTATTTATTTATTTGTATGTGGTGCTGAGAATTGAACCCAGTGCCTCATGGGTGCTAGGCAAGCACTCTACCACTGAGGTACACTCCCAGCCTCAAGACAAGACTTTTTAGATTAAAAAAAGTACTTGAATCCTTCCCCTTTTGTTAAAAAAAAAGTAATTTTTTTGATTGCAGTCATGTTTAGAATCTATAGATTTTATGTTAGCAGAGAAACCGATTACTGACTTGCTATTTAAAACCAAACCTCACAGTGGCTAAATTCTTAATAAAAATCTGCCTCTGTGGCATTCTTGCATACAGAACAAACTCGGCTGCTTCAAAAGCAAACTCAAAAGCCATGTGATAAAGTCCAGATTTCTTTCTGTTATTTGTGACTTTTATACGTACTTTATGTGCTCCTCCCCACAGCTGTTCCCCTACCACCTAGAATAGGATTTGGTCCATTGTTGATGTCTAATAATTATTGGTTAACTGAATGACTGATTTGCACCAGCACAGTCATTATTAAGAAAGTCAGTGGTTCAAGGCACTGACTCTCATATAATTATTCTTATGTTGGAATATCAAATCAAATTCACTATATACAGCGCCCATTATTTTATGAAGCCTTTATGTCCTGCATTGTCCTTCAACAAATCCTTAAACTATATCCTTTCCTCTGGGGTTTCCTTTCCTACTGTGGTAGACTATTTGTAAAAATGTCCAGAAAAATGCCTTCCATCCCTATATGCATGCTCCCTACAAATCATGACTTTGTCACTCTTTCTATTAAGTTGTAGAATTTATTTGCTCACCCTGAATCTGGACTTGTCCATGTGACTTGATTTGATCAAACAAACATTAAACCAATGAGACCCAAGCAGAGGCTTGAAGCACAACTGTGTAGTAGAGTATGTCCCTCCCCCTTGGTTTTGATAATCTTGGCTAGAGGCCAATGATGTGAATGAGCTTGAGGACCAGAGGACAGGTGGAGAGCCAAGGCACCCTGCCCTCAGCCTGCCAGCTCATAGACATATTAGTGAGGCCCTCCTAAACCACCTTGCCCCAATGGGGCTACCAGATACCAAAAGTCAATAAGGTGATCCTAGAAGAGACCAGCAGAAGTCATAAAAGCTGAACTCAGTTTACCCAGAGAATTATGAGCAAATAATTAGTTGTTTAAGGCCATTAATTTCTGAGACTTATTTGTTACATAGTAACAATAACTGATAACACCTGCATGGCTCACCAAACCAAAAAAGGGCCAAGCAGGACAAGCCTTAACAATCCAAATAAGCAAACGTTAAAAGAAACTGCACTCTCTCTCCATTCCACTCCCTGTGTATGGTCCAGGTATGTAACTTCTAGCTTGAACTCCCAGGACACCTGTTCTTCCTCTTTATGGGTTTCTTCTTTGAGAGTTCCATTTGCATGAGCTAAAATTTAAATATTCCCATGTGTGTCCGTAGAATAATTCAAACATTCACAATCACAACCGTCCTTCCTCTAAGACACAGAAAGACATTCCTGAGAGTGATGGGCTGGGTGGGGGTTAAAGTCCACTGCAGTTTTAGGCAGCCACATTGAAGGAACTGTAGTACCAGATTAAATCTTTTCAGGGATCAGAATAATAGTGAGTGACAGTTCATTTCTATATCAATAAACATCTGGACTTACAAATGATATCACCGGCATTTTCTTACTGCACCATGCTCTAAAAAGGACAGTAAACAGATTCCTGATTAAGTACCCAGCCTGTCACCTCCATGCTCCTGAACCTCAGCACCAGCAGCCCTCAGGAGTGACCATACCCCAAAACATGACCATGACCATCCCACTGCCCTGCGGGACCAGCCTCTAACATCTAGGATCAGGGAAGGGGAAGTGAAGAGAAGAGAACAAGAAGCAAAGGTGAGACAAAGAGGAAAAGAAAAGTCCTCTCTCTCCATAAAAGGCACGTTCAAATAGCAGGTTGTTTTTCACTTCTCAAGGGCAGACATTAAATCCAGAATGTACAAACATTCCTAAGTCAAAACCATCTCCATCTTCATATTTCAAGGATCTCTAGCCCTCCAAACAGACGCCCTCTGAATAACCAAACAATACTTGAGTTTTCCCACTGTGATTAGTACAAGTGACGTCTTTCCTGGAGGACCTTCAACCCAGCAACTCTCCCTCTACAGAGCACAATTCAGAACCCAAAAGAAAGACCCGGAGCACTCAAAACTTGTAACCTAAAGGCCTGCGTGGAATTCTGTAAGAGAGTTCTTCCAAACTCAGTCTGCAGAAGCTCTGTATCAAGGGGCTCAGGAAGGCCTGTGTATTTTATAATGAGTTCCCAGATAAACCAACGCAGCACCAGGATTGAAAATCAATGCTCTCACCTTTAGTGCTCCCAGGACCAGCTTTTACTGGTCTTTCAATTGCAACAACCATGACTGTGCCTCTCTTAACCCATTTCCTATCTCACCTTCCCCTTTAAATATCCTCAGATAATTAACTCTGAAAACATTTTGAAAAGAAAAGAAAAACCCTTCTAGTCCTACTTCCATTTCAGCCACATTTCTAATTGGTACATGGTATCTCAGCACATGACAGGAAAAGAGTAGTTCATGTATAGATTGGGAGACCAAAATGTACCACCCTGTAGCAGTGTATTTCAAATGTTTGATGATGACTCATTGCAAGACACAAAATTTGGAGCTGGGGTTGTGGCTCAGTGATAGAGTACTCACCTAGCACATGTGAGGCACAGATTCAAACCTCAACACCACATAAAAATAAATAAATAAAAATAATAGAAGATGGAGTTTTAAAAAAAAGAAAATTTTCATCACAACCAAGTATGTGTGTATGTACCTAATTGTACAGACACACACAACTCTATATGAGATAAAAACTTCACAAAACCCAAATACCCTTAATATATGCAATGCAATGACTTTTTTTTGTTGTTGTTGTTTAATTCTATTCATTACAACACTTTTTTAAAATTGCTGGTCCTAACCCACTAAATGGTTTCCATGAGCCAGTAATGGAATGAAACTTGCAGTTTAAAAAATAGTGCTGCAAGAATATTCCCCTTAACCTTTCTTTTAGTTACTGATTCCCTTGAAATACCAACAAAAGCCATGAATCTTCTCTTTTTTTTTTTTTTTAAAAAAAAAAAAGCACAC